GAACCGACAGGTGCCCCGGGATTTTATATGGGTTATCAACAAATAACACAAAACCTGTTACACATTAAGTGTCATCCGAATTTACAAAACATAGTACAATATATCTTATGGGACGGTCACATAAAGGGGCACCTTCTTTGTACAGTCATCAAAGGAAAAGCTTTACAAGGTAGTAGTAGTTAAAACCTCAAATTTCACATTTAGCCCCTACAAATCCTGGAAAACCGAGACAGTCGCCGATGAGAAATGGTCTGAAACACGTTGTTTTTTAGAGTAAAAATATTTCCTTTTAGTCCCATGACGTTTTTCCTCCCAATGAGGAGTATATAGTTGATTGATTGTGGAAATGTTTAGAAATTTCTGATAGATATACTGTAAATATGTCGAAATATTTGTATTATTTGGTATTATTTGTCTCGTAATAAACGGTCACTCGTACTTATTAGGCAGTGATACAAGGTAAAATACACGGGATGTGTTATGTGTTATGTGATATTTGTAGTAAAATGCGGATGCTTTATATAAACCGCGGGACATAAATTGTGAAAATTTATCTCGGATGTCGAATATTTCAATTTATAATTCTCTCTTTCAATTTTCAGTCTATAGATAATGTGGTTACTAGAGTGCAGTGCATGTAGCTTATACCCGCAGCCCAATAAATGTACTGTCCTTTTCTGGTTTACAGTGTATGTCAGCCAGGCACATTACTAATGTGCAATCTTACATTTATGTAAATATTTTCAGTCAGAAATAACATTAACTTCATTTCAGATACATTGTGTATTTCGTTCCTGATAATCAAATCATTTACAAAAGCATCATTAAAAGTAAACTTTTCTCACAGTTTACGGTCATGAAATGCAAAAATAAAAATATACATGAAATGCGTTGTTTTCACTTCGTTCAAGTAATATTAAGATATCTTACATGAGATATAGACGCCAGATTACCTTACCGCAAATATTGTTTTAATGAAATAACCAAAAAGGAAACTTGCCCCATAAAGAACAACCAAAATGAAAAAAATATATGAAAATGTTGCAGACCCAGGTAAATTGTTCGTTTAATTCATTTTAGAATGTCAAACAGCGTTAAGAAGATTGTGAAGAATATAATTTGTATGCAAATGTGTTTTATTTCTGCAATTAAACGAAATTAGATGAAAACAAACGATTTAGTTCGCAATTAAACAAATTTTAACAAAGGAGGAATAAAACAAATTTTAAAATTGAATCTTACCTTTCCTCAAACGTCTGAAATCTGACTTGAAATACAGTTCTTTTGTTGCATGCGAAAAATTCTCCCATTGCATCATACAATCACAACCGCGCTGTTGTGAAATGTTATTTTTTAAATTTGCGTCTATTTCAACATCAAGGGACATCAGAAGCTTTTTGAATTATATCTAAAATATTCTATATATGCATAAATTGAAAGAATATGTCAGATTTTATCTTTCATACATTGAAAATATTTAAGAGATAGTCAGTTTATTTCATACAAAGAAAATGAACGCGTCTAATAAACAGTTCATACGTGTTATAATTAAGAAATTAAGATAACAAGTTTTTATACTGTGACAGGACAGGTACGATTCAGAAAATTTTTAGTAATGTGCCAGACATCTGATAACACGGTTCTCATTTATATATTTAGAAAGTGATGGTTTATAAATGCCTTGAATAAAATTAATTATATCCCGAATAAACGATATATAAACTTTTAATAAACAAATGACCATCGCTAAAACATCAAATTTGAGCGTAAACGTAGCATTAGACCCATTACCAAATCTAACCAAAATAAAGCAGCGCACATGTTACCTCACTTTACTTTATAGAAAGCGGTTACCAGAACTATGCCCGCGCAGCACTATTAAAATTATCCAAAAAGGAACAATATAAAACTTAAAAGATAAATTTATTCAAAACGAACATGTTAGTCAACAACAGATGGATAGATAGAAAATTCAGATGCTATATAACAGTGCAATGCACTTAAATCTATACGTCTTGTCCAAATACGAAACAGTCCCCCTTTAGGTTTACGCATGATTTAAGTTTAAGCCTGGTTAAACGATATTAAATTTTGGTAAACGTGTGACAGTTGCACAGTCCATTGTATGCAAACGGAGATAAAAAGCCTTCTCTTCCTATAAAAAGAAACTGTAGATAAAATGTTTTGCAACAAAGCTAGACATTTAAAATCGGTCATGAAGTGTAAAGTTATGAAGTGTAAAACTGATGTATGTGAATGTTTTTGCTTTGCAGCCGAATAATTTTACTGAATACTTCGTTGCTAGAGGCTTGAAATATGTGCACCTTCCATTATTTCTCGATCAAACCGACTCTACAATTTTCTTTATTTTGTATGCAGTGTTCTGCAGGGATCTCCATATTGATAATTTTATACACATGCAAGCATTAACATAGCCACGCGCAATAAAAAAAATATAAAACAGGTTATGTATTTTATGATAAGATAATACCTTAAACTTTTTTCAGAGTATGTGAACGTATTTCTTTTTGATTTTCTCCGTCTTCATGCTGTATTAGTATAACCTGCTCTCTGCAAATAACTGTCAGCTTCCACGCATGAAACAGAGATGAAAGACATATGGGCCCGCGATGTACTTGTTTTTAGTGTGGATAAGAAAAAGAATACATGAAGAGTAGCACGTGAATGACAAAAATAGCTGACTGAAATGACCATCCGGTAATAATATTTCATAAAAACTGAAATTGAACTGATCAATTTTTTTGTATTTTGACTTTTATATAGTCATAAAAAGTACTTGAACATGTTTTTTATGATGAATTAGGTCTAACAGTGCGTTCACAACGAGAAGCTATAACATATCAGTTAAAAGAATAAAAATTTGGAAAAAGGGTGTTCCCTCTGAGGCATTAACAACAACAAAATTATATTAAAAAATTGCTGCCCAGGTTCATGAGATTAAATGCGAAAAGACCTCATATCTCAAGCCCTAAGCACCGGTTTAAGTGTAATTCAATTTTTAATACTGAATGTGCTGGAATCAATGGTCCTAATGTTCCGGAAAATATATAAAAACACTGTAGTGAAGTACGGGGCAATTTTTTGCAGCTACCCCAAAGCACTTGACACATTCTTTTATGAAGTTTAAAAAGTTTTGGAAAAATGCAAAATCAGTGCCAAAAAGGAAGATGAAACACACTGTGGTCGCCTATGAATCGACTTTTTCTGCGCTTATTTAAATCTGTGGAATTACTTTTAAATAATAAAGGCAATTGATGTTAGTTTATTGCCTAAACAATTCTATCACGGATAGCGGGAAACATATGTAAATACAATGTATACTGCATGCAGTTTTCTACGTAAACAGTGATTTGCATTCTGTACTTCACTAACAAATATTTCAATTTTAATTGTAAAAATACACACAACAATCAATCAAAAGTAAAATGTTATTTTTACATTGTTCTCCCAGTCACTGTGATCGATTAAACATTAAATGTATGTGTTCTTTGTTCTAGTTGTATTGTTTAATTAACTGTATTTGTTCTATGTTCTGGTTGTATTGTTTAAAACTGAATACATTTGACATTTCAAATAGCGTTTAACACTTTATTGAAATATGATAAACAAGATTAACAAGAAAAGGCGGCGTTCAATGAACGCCGAGCAATGGACAATGAAATTTAAACAACACAGTGCTATTTGCCAAGCACTTATTGGGAAAATATGCTCCATTTTCAAACTCACAAAATCACATTCTGTTCCAAATCAACAAGCACAATAGAAGTTGAAGGTTTCACATACATATATCAAAGGAAAACCCATGACGCTCAGGACAGGCAGATCACACGATGTTTCATACAAAATATTTAACTCTGGCCCTTTGGGTTTCAGAAAAGAAACATTTTAAGGTTTAACTATAGATGTATACAAAACATGAAAACAATAACTCCCGTGATAGTGCCAATTTTCACCCAATTGCTCACATATTTACAAACTTAGTAGATATCTATTTAAAGATGTCCCATACCCAGTATCTAAGCTCTAGCAGTTGGGCTTTCAGATAAGAAGATTTTGTGACCCATGGTGAACACAGTTTGAGCCCAGGATCATATTTTGAACAATTTTGATAGGTATTGATTGGATAATGTTTAATGCACTAGTATTTGGGATTTCAGAGACAAACATTGTGAGGGTTTCACTATACACATATAAGGAAAACCTATGACCAAATAACAAAGCTACTTGAAATTTCATAATAAATTTGTTTTGAAATTTTCATTTTAAAGCACCATTTTAGGCCCTGGGACTTGATTATGTCACTGACCGAAACTATTGAAATAACTTTGATAGGGCACCATCCAAAGATCATTCCTGTGTGGTTTGCTTAATATCGAGTGATTGGTTTCAGAGGAGATCTTGTTTAAAGAAATTAATGAAAACGATATACGAACGACAAACGACGACAAACGCAGAACAGAGAGGAATCATCATAATAGCTCACCAGGAGCACATTGCGCTCAGTTGAGCTAAATGTGTATTAATAGTAATATGACACTTAACTATAGCTATTTACGTTAGCAGTATAAAACAGTCCATGTTTCATAAGAAGTGTAAACAGAATGTTTATCGTTTAAAATCTGACAAAAAAAAAAACAGGAATACTTGCGGCATGGTCATAGGCTAATTGTGTTTAGTTTCGGTATAGTCTCTAAGGTCGATACATTGCCTGTTAATAGTCGATAGATTTTCAGCGGGAGTCGATTCTTTATCGCGGGGATGAGCCATTTATAAAAAGTAGGGGTCAATTTTCTACGTAGAAAATTGAAAATTAATTTTATGTTAAATCGGCATATTTATGTCACTACATATATCGTTTCCAATATGTGATTAAAATGTTGCATAAATGTAAGAGAGAAAAAAAGAATAGAAAACATCAAGCTTACTTCTTCAAAATGACATATCAGATTCAAACAACTGAATATAATAACTTAACATAATGAACGGAATTATTTAATTTTAATCTGAAAAAAGATGTACTACAAAAATTCTTGGTTAGTGAGTCGAATCAACGTGTGCACGAAAGTATTGCGAACAAAAGTGTACACAAATACGGAGATGATTCAAATATTTTTCCTCGCACAAGGACAGTGTTTAATACCCGTAGCTTTACGACAAGTAGGTAAAGGTTAATATTAGTAAATATAAAAACCTAAATTTAAAATAATCTTTGAAGAATGTCGGCAGTATTTGTGGATTTTAAGTATTTAAATTTACAAATATGATGTTATCAATTGCTTGGTCAGTCGAGTATTTCTTGTTTTCTTATATTTGAGAAGACCTGGGATTGATAAGTTTAAAATTACTAGTGACACAGACTTACAGCTCTTATTGATGGAAATGTTGTGTCGATAAATTAAAAGGCATGCTAAAATAACTTCCGAATACATATATTTATTATGATTAAAAATATATGTTAAAAGTATCAATGAAAACCTTTTGAATATGTATTTTAACTTCCATCATGTTTATATATAGTCATGCAAGTGTTAGTCATCACAAAGGTTACAAACTAGAACAAAATGACAGAGCATATCTCGTTTTTTATCACTTCTCGTGATTTAGGATGATTAGGGATGACTGGTGTAATGTCACGTAACTGTAAAGATTATAAGGCGACTGAATATATATTATAAAGATATTTTAAAGAAATCTACTTAAATTAATAAAATACATTTACATTCACATTAAGCGTTTTTAATTTTAATAGTACCATAATATTTTTATCAAGCAAAAAAAAATTGTTTTGTTTAGGTCACCCTGCCCCATCTAAAAATATGCCGGACCCTACAATTTTTTTTAGGTCTGTAAAAAACAAAAACAACAAAAAAAAACAATTACAAAACATGAAGAAAATTCACAATTTTCATCAACATTTTGATAACAAATTGTTTAGTCATAAAATTGATGAAGGAACTCTTAAATGTCCGCCAAAAATTTGAAGAATTTAGCCGATAAAATTATCCAATCAGATACTACAAATTTGCCGTACAGAAATATCGTATGATGACTTTTGTCGTTAACTTCCAGTCAAATAGATGCTCAAGGACTTATAATTCATTTAAAAAAATGAAATTTGTTTGATATTGACCAATATTTATTGTTGTACGATGCCTAATGAAATGGCTGATAGACACCAATCTTGTAATTAACAAACATAATTGATTTGTTATAAAGCTAAATCACCAACAACTAAAATTGTAACTGTTTCAGCAGAAAAATATTTTCGCGATGCCGCTTTTTATGTTTAAAAAGGTCACCAAAAACATGCTACGTCTTATCAAAATGTGTATTAATCACTAAAAATGTAGTTTATGAATATAAAATACCTTAGGTACTGTTTATATTAGTGGAGATGGTGATAATTGTCAGTATGTGTTGGTCATTATTAAATGGATGTTTTCTAAAAGGAGGAGTGTGTTTGGAGTAAATCAAACAGAAAACATTATAATGGTCTAATATGTCATGCTTTAAAAATTATTATTTAAATCTGATCAATCACTTCTGTGTAGTACAGTGTTACCCATTTTGGACATTTTACATTTGTCTGCATGTAATTGTTTTAGAATGTTTGATTCTTTTATATTTAAGAATAAAAGGGTTAATGTTTTATTTCAAAATATGTTTGTCGCAATTTGATCTTTAATGCATTTAAACATTCATAATATGAAAATTTTGGGCAGTTAAAAAAAGGGGGAAAATCACTTGGTACTGTCAGGTTTTATAGCAGCACAGTAACAAAAATGGTGGTTCAGGTTGTCTGTGATTATAAAACAGCGTGTGGACATTCCATCACACTGTTCAGAATTGTAACATCAAAGTTGTTGTTTGAAGAGTAAAAAATTATGCTTTTGTGCCATCCTGGCCCAGTTACGATTCTCATTTCCAAACAAAACGTCCGACCTACCCTACCTATTCCTGGTGAGCTTCTTACCCTAACAACACAATTTTTATAGGCCTAATATACTTAATCTTTTAATACAATGTATAAGAACAAGTAAATTAATTGTGTTGAACAAATAGTTCGTCTACACAATAGTAAAAAATGTCAAACGCCAGATTATAAATATACATTTTTCTTGAATAAAAGTGACGTTCTTTCTCATTCAATATCCTAAGATCTTGGGTCAGTATATTTAAACTTCCACATAGATGAACCACTCATTTCTTTCTTCCAAATGTCATCAAACATTTCATTCTGGGCTTCTGCAAACCAATTTTTCCAATCACCAATTTGACCTAGAAAGAAAACAAATTTTAACCTTAAATTTAATACGTAGAACGTACATACAGAAATTGTATCGATTTCACTTTAGAAGGATGGGGAATCAAATAATAAATAACGTTCGTTTCACGAAAAAAGATAACTGGCATAACATGACACTCTATTTTATCAGGACATGTTCTAAAATAAAACCTCAGTGTCAAAGGATATTTTCGATAAAAAAACACGTGAAATATGACTCAAGTAATGTCATTGTTATACCAAACGAAATTTATTATTATTATATTTAGAAATATCGTTTGATTCAATTAAAAATGTGAAATGTGTAAAAGGACTCAATAACTAAATGACAATAATGTTTAAAAAAGTATATTTCTAAGATTTTTCCTATTCCAGTTTTGATTATTTAAGATAAAGCATATTTTTTCTACGTATATTATGATGAAATCTAGGAGTTTTAATCACTCTCAAGTGTGCCCCTGAAACTAACTAGTATTGATGTCATATGTGGAAAGATAAACATGAACCCAAAAATGTCTCTAACTCATGATCCCTGGTTTGAGAGGGATAGACCTTACCACTAAGTCACCTTTCCCCCTTGAATACAAAGTTTACAGTTTTTATAAATTGCAAGTTAGCATATCATATTGATAGAATTTCATATTTGGTAACACATTATTTTCTCTTGAGATGAAAATCAAAAGAAGACAAAAAATGTAAAGAATATCATACCTTTCCTTAAAAATCTGAAATCTGACTTGAACAACATTTCTTTGATAGCAGGTGGAATTTGTTTTTTCACCATTATATCAAACCCGCAGTTATGTAGTATATCTTTCTTCAAATTTTCTTCTAGTTCAACATCAAGGAACTTCAGCAACTTTTCAATTTCTTCAATTCCATTCTGTGTGTAGATTTATGTTAATATTTTACAATGTTCAATAATGGTGAGATACAAATTGTTTATAACTTTTGTAAGTGATTTATTTAGATAACCTTGTATGATCATTCTCTTAATGTATGATAAATATGTTTGAAAATATTTTGATTTTGAAATATAAAATAAAATTTGTAAACCTACGATTTTCATGTCTTCGTAATACATGATGTGAAGGGGATATCCAACGCCATTTTGTATTTCTTTTTCCCATTCTTTTAGATAATCTGTGTACTTTCCGTACTCTACTGTAAAATATGTTTTAAACATCTTATGCATACTGTGAAATTCATATATTTCTTTATTCTTATATATGATTATTTTTCAACTTGAACGTTACATTAATTTGTTCGTTAGCCCTTGGCAAACACAAAATAATTCAGGAGAAAAAAAACAAAGGTAAATATATAAAATATAAAATAAAAAATTGAAAACGGTGGTGCCATAGAGAAATCAAGGCATTCAAATAAAGTTTTCAGCACTCCAACAAGTTTTTATATTTTTATACCCACATTGTCAATTCTATACTTTCAGATTTTTTCGCACTTACATTTCCCCTGAAGATACACAGGCAGCCAATCGCTCCATTTACCCTCGTAATTGTACGGCTTTAAACCCGTCATATGATTGTAGTAGGACACAGCGGTGTCTTTTGGGTTACGACAACACAGTATCGTCTTTATCTGTTTAGCTTTCATGTCCTTCAACGGTAGGTAACTGAAATATTTTGTTATGTAAGCATTTTTTAGATCGAACTAACTCGAAAAGCTATCGAGAAGAAACCTTCTAATAATACACATTTAGGAACATTTCAAGTAACGATTTTTGTATATTTAGACATAAGTATGTATTCGTATTTAGTTAAAACTACATCTTTCATCAGATAGCTTGCTGGTCTGATAAATAGAAACATTTATTTTATGCTTTTCAGTGGATTACTCATTTATCCGTGAAAATTATATTTGATAATTTCACAGTGAAAATTATCAAAATATAATTTCACACTTTTCAATGACGAAGCTACTTTTTTTAAGATTTTCCCCATGTGGTACCTCAATTTTATTTTTGCTGACTATTCAGTCAATGTCAGGCTGTTTAAAGAAAAGCAAAGCTGAAATTGATAAATAACTTATATGTCAAAAGTAATAAAAAGAAGAAAACTTACAGTAAGTTACTTCTATTCATTCAAATTACCAATCACCAAATATCGTCTCTTTAATTTTTTGTTTCATTTTTACAGTCTGAAAAATACATTCCTTCCTCTTGCAAAACTGCTTTTGACGACATTTGGGAATATTTAAGTATCCTACGAGCAAAAACTGCCGTATGCTTTATGAAAACTTGAAAAGCAATGCCGCAGCTTTCAGTCGAAGAATATGTAAACAACCCAGCGTTCGTAAGGCTTCCAAGTTTTCCAATTTCCTATCCTCTTTTTTGAATGTTTACACATCTGTCAACACTTATTTATTGTCTGTTACAATCCTCAAATAAGTTTTCTTTCTTTTAAAAAGGTGTATGACTAACAAATCCAAATGATATCCCTCTGAATCAAACACAATTATTTTCCTCCAGTGAAATACACAACTTTGAAAATGGCGGCCGCTTACATTTAACATAGCCAGGTCTAATATAAATTCGCAGTCAGTAACAGAAATATGGATGGATGGTTGGACTTTTTCTCCTACTAGAATTGTTTGTTTTTATTATTTAAACATGCGATCAGACATATTTTCTAATAAAATGAATACTATCACCACCATTTAACGTTGATTGTGGAACTTATTTTTCAGCCCATGACTTCTTGTATTTAATGAGAAATTCGACTTTTTTGAGGCTCTAAATGGGGAAACAGATTTTAATATTAACGTAAATATTAAGGAAATTTCGTTTTAACTTGTTTTTAAGCATAAAATAAAAAGTAAATTTGTTTGTTTGTTGTGTAAGATGTAATTTTATTTCATCTCGTGAACTTTAAAAACAGTATTCTCACTCGTGGCTACGCCACTCGTGAGAATACTGTTTTTAAAGCCCACTCGATGAAAAAAATTTCATCTTACACACAAACATACAAATATCCTCTATTTAATCTTTTAAATAATCACAAAATAAAGCTAATTTGAAAAAAAAATGTATGTTTTGTGTGCGTGCGTGGATTCTTATATTCGTTTGTGCGGGCGTACGTGCTTGAGTGTGTTGGGGAAGTTGCCGACATTTATTAAAGAAAAGAAAAATGTAAAACACGAAACCAGTGCGGGAGGTTCACCCGCAAAGTTCGAGCATTAATAACTGTCGCTGCATAGAAACAAATTGATAATGTCTTCTTTGTATAAAAATATACAAATATGAAACATATAACAATGCTAATAACCCTTTTATGTCTGGCATTAACCAGGTTGTTCAGTTATCATTAATAAAGTTACAAAAACTTGCTTATGATAAGGTCATTAATTTTGAAATATGAAAAGACCAAATTAGCAATTGTACTACAACTCATGATTCTATTGGCAAAGGTTCGTGTTTACATCTCTGTTATAAATGACAATCAATTTCTTCAAAATGTATACACACCGATAAGGCAAGTGACAGTTAACAACTCTCGGCGAAGGTTGTTTGTCGAGATTTTCAACAGATTGGAACTCCAGCATTAAATCCCCCTTGTTGCCTTCTATTGGTTTAGAGCTCTTCCTTAAAATCATCATAAGTAGTTCATACAGCCAGTTTGTACCTAAAAAAATAGATGTTACTTTTATATGATGGCAGTGAAGCTTTGGAAAATCTATGAATAGCAACTATATTAACCTTTGTTTTTTACTCGGTCGGTAACAGGTAAACGGAACCTATTTGTGTGTATAAATAATATATATATTTCATAGTTTCCTTTTTCAAAATTACTATCTTTTTATACTTTTAGCGGTGACATAAAAACGTCAAAAAATGTTTGTACCTGTTTTTGGATATGTACACAACATCAAATCACCATCCTTAAATTTGAACTCTGGAACTTTATCGAAAATTTCCTTCGTCTCTTCAGGCGTCTTCATAAATTCTGGAATCACAAAGCCGCCGACATCGGTTGCACATATTGATGCATTTCCAAGATCGGTTATCTTTACTGAAGTCATTCTGAAAATGTAACCCACAAACCAATGATGTTATATGAGCAAGCCTTATTTCACAAAAGGATTTTGGTAAAGTTTACGTGGACGGTAACTTGCACTTTCCAGTACCGTCCATGAACAGGCTCAATCAAACCGAGCCTGCAACATTTTCAATTTTGCCGTGTTGGGCTTTCTTTAGGGATTCTGTATTTATCTATTTTACCTCACGCCATCTTTGAAATTGGCCGTGCACTGTATTTGTTAAACGAACAAAAAGAAATCATTATCGTATAAATAGAAATCATGTTGATGAATATTAAAAAAAATATCATTTTTATTGAATGACAGACAAAAATGTATAAAAAATATTATCTAATGATTGAAGGAACAGTTACTTCAGGATTTTATAACTTTTCATCATGTTTTGTATATTGAGCGGATCTGATTCACGCCCGTGTGATTCTCACGCCACGATTAGACAGCTACATCAGCGTTGTCATTGCTGTGTTCAGGCTGTAAAAATCGCCCCGTACATTCAATCAGAGATGTTATATATTTCCGATCAGTAAAGATCGTTCAGTACGACATTATTGTTGGGCTTGTGGTAATTTAGTTACTTCTATTCGGCTATTTTCCTGTGGGTGGTTTGAGTATTCCTCACTTGAATACTGTTGAATCACCCATATGTGGCCTGCTCTTTAAATTTGTCTTTTGACGTCCTATCTGTGATATGCAGGCTTCATAACCTCTGATCTCCTTTCAAAATACTATTTTATTTAGTTCCGCCCATTATTTTCTAGTTTAGGGCACACGCATTTTTTTACTTGAAGACCACAAGCCGCTTTCATGGAATGGCACTTACGTGTCACATTGAAGGTTCCATGATAACCGCCATATTAACACATCCGCTGATGTTTCAAATTCAAAATTTTACCAGTAAATGTTAAAGGTTGAATTCTGCTTAAGCCGGTGCTAGGGTGCGTAGACGGTAGTTTGCAATTGACAGTATCGTCCAAGAACAGGCTAATCAAACCGATCCTGCAACATTTTCAATAAAGCCGTGTTGGCCTTTCTTAAGGGATTATTTTGTTCTCTATTTTTTCTGAAATCACCTGCGTTATGACACATCATTTAATAAATGTGTATAAATTTTAAAGCAAATTGCACTTTAACTGCTATTGAAATATAATACGTCACACCTGTAGTTTGCAATAATGTCTGTGACATTACAAATGATGACTATTTTGAATGATAACAGACTAGTAAAATTATTGCTGAACGGTCTATTCATCAACGTATTTCCAAACCTCTAGACTTTGTTTTATCTTGTGAGATATTAAAACATTATCTATTTAAGTTCGCTTTTGACAAAAATGGTAGTTAATATCGCTATGGTTTTTTACTATAGCACCTGCTTGCCTTATCAAATATGCCAGGTTGTCATATTAGACTACATGGTTGTTTCTAAAGTATTGCTCGAACACGCAACCTTTACTTTGAAGTGAAATCGATTTTCTTAGAGTCTAGACAATACAGGTTATTAAAAAATTCTGGAAACAAAGTGATCCCTCAGAAGCATTAATCACAACAAAATAACATAAGAATTGCAGACTCGGTTTGATTGAGTCTGTACATGAGGGATAATGAATAAGTGCAACATCCCTCACGCCCCCTAGCACCGGCTTGAGCGGTACTCAATTCTCAACACTTTATAGTGTTGGCATCAATGATCCTGAAGGACCAGAAAATATAACAACACTGAAGTGAAGTACGGGGCAACTTTTCACGGCTGCCACACAGCACTTGACACCTGCTGTTGTGAAGTACAAAATTCTGGAAACAAAGTGATCCCTCAGAAGCATTAATCACAACAAAATAACATAAGAATTGCAGACTCGGTTTGATTGAGTCTGTACATGAGGGATAATGAATAAGTGCAACATCCCTCACGCCCCCTAGCACCGGCTTGAGCGGTACTCAATTCTCAACACTTTATAGTGTTGGCATCAATGATCCTGAAGGACCAGAAAATATAACAACACTGAAGTGATTAAACCTATTTTTTATTCTAAGCGTGCCAATATCATATTATCTAAAATAAAAACACAAATGATGTAACATACACTGTATATTCATAAACACAATATTTACGAAGTAAATTCGCTTGATATGCTATAGAATCATTGTTGTCTTCAAAAAGAAATACATTTAATGGCAAAGTGATAATTTTCTCAACAAGGCAACATAGTCGCAATATACATGTACATCCGTCACAGAAGCTATCAGTGGCATTATAGATATGCTTATAGGCGATATTCTCTTGGCAAAATCCGGAAAACATCTGGATATATTATCATCTCTAGTGATTTTTTATATGAATTTTGACCACTTTATGTGACCTTGACCGCAGGGACCTCAATTTTGCACGCTACACCCCACCTCACAATTGTAAATATTTGTGCTATGTTATATTGAAATCCCTCTATGCATGTTGAGGTTTTGTTCCAGACAAGCGTTTTTTTGTGACCTCTATGTGTGACTTTGACCTTTGACTTAGATGCTTGGTTAATGCACACGACACGGCTTCTCAAAGTGTTGAACATTGAATGAACATTTGTATGAACTTTCATTAGAATCCCTCCATATGTGTAGGAGAGATGCTCTGGACAAAATCTTAATATTTTATCATTTTTAGTGATCTTGACAATTATCTTTAGAGACCTTAACCTTGCATATATTAACCTTCATTAATTGTTTTACACAAATAGTCATGAGAATGACTATTTGTGTTTCAATCCCTAAATAAATGATGTCTTAATTGTCCCAATGCACATTTTAATATTTTTATCTGAACTTTGACCCCTATGTGTGACATTGACCTTGGTCGCAGGGACCTTAATTTTACATTCGACACTCCGCCTGACAATAATGAACATTTGTGCCAAGGTATATTGAAATCCCTTTATGCTAGTCCAAATATTTAGACGTTACCGCGGATTTGAAGCTATTTTTTACATGGGTCAAATCCGCTTTAACGTCTAAAGATATCTATTTAAAAATCCATAGCAAAATGAAAAACAATAAACATGCACAATCATTCAAATTTCCGATGTAGAATGTTACAAATAATCATAATCCTACCACAAATGTGTCTTTTCCTTATCAAAATCAACTCCTTCAAATTTTAAACAATTTAAAACAAATCCCGTGTAAAAATTGTGTAAAACAGCCTCCATATTGTGTGTACTACGCAATGCGGTGATTACTGGAACCATATTTTTTAGACGAATTTTTTAATGCGCGCACCTGTCAGCGTCTTAAATTACAACAGAAAAATCTTTCGTTCAGACTAATTTCGTACTATTGTTTTTTGGGGACGTCACAGCATGACCGGGAATTTCCAATATGGGGGTCACCGCAAACTGTCTTTCATGTGTCTTCTTAAAAATATGGATAAATAAACGACTTATCGCGAGTAATTATTGTATATTTTCACAGTTTTTGGGAAAATATGCTTCCGTCTTTTATTTAATCAATTGCTTTTGTGATAAAAAACATTTAAGTTGTGATTTACCGGTAAATTCAAATCGACTCGAGAAGCGTGTCGATTTGTGCTATGGGAAATTAGCCAGTTATGGAAAGACTTCGCATTTTCCGATAAACGTCAAAATGTAAAAAAAAGAAAATGCGATGTCTTTCAATGAAGGACTACCCTTTATGCATGTAGAAGTTTTGTTCCAGACAAGCGTTTTTCAATGAGCTCTAAAAGTGACATTGGACTTTGACCTAAAGGCCTGCTTTATGCGTACGACATGGCTTCTCATATTGATTAACATTCGTATAAAGTTTCATTAAAATTCCTTCATGGATGAAGGAGATATAGGACAACAAAACAAACAATTTGAAAATAAGCTAGTTGCGTACCAATAATAAAGTTTAACATATACTATGTAAACATGATATCAAAAAGGGCAGTCACGTGACCTCTAGAAGATTAATATTCCCATTGCCATTTTTAAATAGACAATTAAATTTGCTACACATTTCTTAGCAAATTTCTTCAACACAATTATTGCATTTATTGACAAATATTGTTTCAATGTATGAATTTCCCTTGAAACATACAAAAGGTGAATTAATATTTCACTTTGAAAACCAGTAATACTTGTTTACATTTCATACACATCTAATACAAATACTAAATTTATTTAAAAATTGCCTTATTATAGGTTTTAATGACTACGACGAAGGCAAGGAACTTGCAGCAATAGCAATATCTTTTAAGGTTATTTAAGGGGAAGCCCCCCCCACCCCCTAAAAATGTGTCATCATAAACCTGAGACAAACACAGGCAGGGAATGGATAAATAGTGGTTAAAAATATATAATGAATAAAAGCAAATATAAACTTACCCTACAGGCAATGTTTCACCATGAACTTAGTCTTCAACCACATTCACGAATTAACTGAACTGTTCTACAAACGACATTCGAGTATTTAGATGATAACCCATTTTAACAGGGGTGCAATTTGTATGACGCGGAATATAATTAATCAATACGTTACATAATGTCACGATGACTTTTAAATTTCCCTTGTCTAGTTTCTTCTTAGCGGCGGGGAGTAATAGATACCGTACGAGGAATATGTATTCATGCGCGTGGCGGAAAAAAGGCCAAAAAACTATGCAGACATATTCTTAACTCGGCATTTTACACTCCTACGAAGCAGTGGCTCTTTCACATTTTGGTAATATGTTTAATGAGAGCCCTCTGTTACGTCATGGGTTTAAGAACGACATAAGTATATGTGCTCTAAGAACGTTTATTATTATAATCTACAATATGTTTATAAGACAGTTGTTAACATAGCAGTTTCCGTGATGGTAGTACGAGGGGTGTTGAAATATGAATGCAACTGCTTCAATTTTCAGAAGTGCTTAACAAACAGTGTCAAAACAATTATATCAATCATTCAAAATACTCAAGACCATGTGATTTACAAAGTTTAAGTCTTTCATCCAATTCCTAATTGCGTTTTCATAATCTTTTCAAAGTAAACTCTTTAGACACTGAACAATAGCCAAACCGAGATTTTTTACGTTAAAACTTTGATATTTTCTTCCAGGGAGGTGTTTTTGAGCCCGGGAAATAGGGAAAAGTCACACGGGGCAAGATCTTGCGAATCAGTAGAATGAGAATGCTCGACAACCATTTCCTGTGTACAATGACTGCTTTGTGTGACGAAGCATTGCCATGCAACAATCTAACACCACGGAGATTAGTTTCTTGTGGGCGGTATTTTAACATTATTAATTTATGAAGGACATTGCCTTTGTTAAACTTTGCATCTACAGATTAACCTTTTGGTACGGCATTGTGAATAGCAGGTGCTTGATTAGTAAAGAAAATCACATAAATGACCTTTTTGAGAGCCCTTGGTGCGTTTTGATATACAAGGTCTTTGACTTCCTTTGGTTGTCCATATGTTGTTATGCATCTTTTGCTTGGGTTCATAAAAGTGACTTAACATCTCTTCGCCAGTGATGGTATTTGAGAAAGAAATTTAGGGAACTGCTTCCAAATTGTTTTGAGATTCTTACCCGAGCAAGTTTTTGCTCTTTTGTAAGGGGATAGGATATCCATCTGGCACTTATCGTTCTTATTTCTAAGTCATGTCTGAGGATTGTATGAGCGGTTCATACAGAGATACCAACGCATTTAGCTATATACCTAATTGTAAATCTTGCTCCAGTAGCTATCAAAGACCCCTCTTATATTTACACCCAGTGAGCTATCTGTTATAAAGGGGCTATACGCACCTGGTGTATCATGTTACAGTTTAACTCTTCCATCTTTTACAAAATTAATGTAATATTTAAACATCATTTCATCTTAGGTGTTTTTTAATCACCCGAAGGGTGTGCATATAGTCGCCGCTTTGTCCTTCCGTCAGTCCGTTTTTCTTGTCCGGGATGTAACTCTAAGGGATATCAACATAAAATAGATAAATACAGAATCCCTAAAGAAAGCCCAACACGGCAAAATTGAAAATGTTGCAGGCTCGGTTTGATTGAGCCTGTTCATGGACGGTACTGGAAAGTGCAAGTTACCGTCCACGCCCCCCAGCACCGGCTTAAGCAGAATTCAACATTTAAACATGAAATAGTAAAATTTTGAATTTAGAAACATCCGCAGATGTGTTCATACGGCGGTCATCATGGAACCTTCAATGTGACACTTCCGTGCCATTCCATGAAAAGCGGCGTATGGTCCCCAAGTAATAAAAAGCGTGTGCCCTAAACGAGAAAACAATGGGCGGAACTAAATAAAATGGAATTTTGAAAGGGGATCAGAGGTTATGAAGCCTACGTATCACAGATAAGACGTCTAAAGACAAATTTAAAAAGCAGGCAACATATCCTAAGGGTGATTCAACATTATTCAAGTAGGAATATTGGAACCACCCAACTAGAAAATGCCGAAAAGTTGAAACTAAAAATACCAAAAGCACAACAATAATGTCGTGCTGAACGATCTTCAAGGATCGAAAATATAACATCATTGATTAAATGTACGGGGAGACTTTTTACAGCCGCCACACGGCACAAATAACACGGATGTGATCATAAAATAGATAAATACAGAATCCCTAAAGAAAGCCCAACACGGCAAAATTGAAAATGTTGCAGGCTCGGTTTGATTGAGCCTGTTCATGGACGGTACTGGAAAGTGCAAGTTACCGTCCACGCCCCCTAGCACCGGCTTAAGCAGAATTCAACATTTAAACATGAAATAGTAAAATTTTGAATTTAGAAACATCCGCAGATGTGTTCATACGGCGGTCATCATGGAACCTTCAATGTGACACTTCCGTGCCATTCCATGAAAAGCGGCGTATGGTCCCCAAGTAATAAAAAGCGTGTGCCCTAAACGAGAAAACAATGGGCGGAACTAAATAAAATGGAATTTTGAAAGGGGATCAGAGGTTTATGAAGCCTACGTATCACAGATAAGACGTCTAAAGACAAATTTAAAAAGCAGGCAACATATCCTAAGGGTGATTCAACATTATTCAAGTAGGAATATTGGAACCACCCAACTAGAAAATGCCGAAAAGTTGAAACTAAAAATACCAAAAGCACAACAATAATGTCGTGCTGAACGATCTTCAAGGATCGAAAATATAACATCATTGATTAAATGTACGGGGAGACTTTTTACAGCCGCCACACGGCACAAATAACACGGATGTGATCATAAAATAGATAAATACAGAATCCCTAAAGAAAGCCCAACACGGCAAAATTGAAAATGTTGCAGGCTCGGTTTGATTGAGCCTGTTCATGGACGGTACTGGAAAGTGCAAGTTACCGTCCACGCCCCCTAGCACCGGCTTAAGCAGAATTCAACATTTAAACATGAAATAGTAAAATTTTGAATTTAGAAACATCCGCAGATGTGTTCATAAAACCTTGTATGTAGATTTATCTTATTAGGTAGATGTGCCGTGCACAAGAACCGTTACTCCGCTTTGCCTAATTTTTGAGTTATTGCCATTTGATCTTTTTACACTTTGAACTTTGTACGGGACATAACTCTGAAACCATACGAGATATAAATGTTTTTATGGAACTTTGTAGGTAGATAGATATTATTAATGGGTAGAAAAGCAGTTCAAAAGAACCATAAATCTGCATTGCCATATTTTGGACTTATCACTCTTTGTTCATTTTTACACTTTGAACTTTGTTCGGGACGTATCATTCTTTGTTCATTTTTACACTTTGAACTTTGTTCGGGACGTAACTCTGATACTAAAAGAAATATCAGTATGAAACTTTGTAGGCAGGTAGATGCAGTGTGACTTCATGTGTAAAAGTCATAACCCTACCTTTCCTAATTTAGGTATTAATGCACTTTGAACATTGTCGGGGACATAATTTTGAAACTACGAGAGGTATACTTTTCTGTGTCCAAAGCCTATTCGGAGAGCATCACCCGGTTCACCCGGTTCAACCTGTACTTGTTTAATAAGGTTAAAATAAGTTTAAATAAGGAAGAACAAGCTATATATCAGATGATCATTACGAAAACATATAGTAATTTGTCATTATCATGAATCGCTTACATCGAATACTCATGAGTATTAATATATAATAAATGCCCGTTTCATAAACGGGTTGTATTTTAAGAACGCCACTGACTGAACGGGGGGGGGGGACAATGACGTCCAATTTTGTCCGGAGAATATCTTTTACACACATGGAGGGATTTTTTAAACAACATAGACATGTTCACCACTATGAGAAACCGTGTATCAGGTATATAAAAGGTATTTAGGTTAAAGGTCAAGGTCACACTACGAGCTTTCTGGAAAACTGTTGTCCGATGCAAAACGTTTACATACATTGAGGGATTTCTATATGTTTTAACGCAAATGTTAACTGTTGTGAGGCAGAGTGTCGTGCGTTAAATTCAGTTTCCTGCTGCAAAGGTCAAGGTCACACATAAAGGTCACAGTTAAGGTAAAAATATGAAGCTTTCTATAAACACCATTTAGTCATCATTTATTTAGGGATTGTAACACAAATGGTCATTATCATTACAGTTGCTATGACACTTGTAATTTATGTTAATGAATGCAATGTCAAAGCCACAAGAGATGATGAAATATACAGATTTTGTCCGGAGCTTATCTCCTACCCGCATGGAGGGATTCTAATAAAAAAAATGAGAAATGTTCACTATAGAGATAATCGATGTCACGTGCATGAACCAGTTCTCTATGTTAAAGGTTAAGGTCACACTTACAGGTCATTCATCAGGGGAATTTAAAGTTACTTGGCACAAATGTTCACCATTGTGTATTACACACATAAACCAGGTCCCTGCTACTTTTAGTGGTCACATAGAAAGGTAAAAAATTAAATAAAAACAGAAGATGTGTAAGTGGCCTATCTAGTCATCATTTATTAGTGGATTGTAACTCTAAAGATAACTATCATGACTACTAGTGTGACACATGTAATTAAAGTCAATATTTGCAGATTTCAAGGTCACTAGAGATGATAAAATATCTTGATGTTGTCCGGATATTGCCCTAAGCCTATCTCCTATATACATAACTATAAAGCCCACATCTCTGTCAAAAACTATTATGTTAGGTGTATTTTGACAATGTTGCCCTTGTTAGCATTTATCACTGCATATTTACAAATCTATTACAGAACGTTGTTTTACCATTCAGCCAGTGCTTGTGAAATAATTAGCATAATCCGGAGAACATAAAACCACAGGCTGTTTATTGTTGTCGTTACGCTATGACCCTGCGTTAATCATGATATTTCGAAAACTATGAAAACTTTTCAAATTCAAAACATGGACACCCATCAGTGACAATTTTATCACATATGCCCCAATGGGACAAAATATCTTTCATGTGGAAAATAACAGTTGAGCTCTTTATGTTCGAAAGTCCACGAACTATTATATGCCTTGAATAGAATCAGACATGACCATAAATTCTTTCGCATTAGATGAACTGCCTCGGAACTGCCTCGGCTATTA